TCTGCTTCCCTTAGGACTGAAGGTTTGCTTGCAAGCAAATTCAGTGCAGACTCACGGCAAGCAAATTTGGGAGACTGAGCTAGCCGATGGCAGATAGATAGATCACTGAATGACTCTGTGAGCAACTCAATCTGCCTGCTTTTGCCTGATTTGGGATAAAAGTTGCTCTTTTTTAAAAAATAACAAATTCAATCTTTACATGCATGGTGTGTTGTGAGTTAATTTTGTGAGTTTGCTTGCAAGCAAATTTTATATGACAGACTGAGCTAGCCAATGGCAGATAGATAGATTTCTGAATGAATCTGTGATTCTGTGAGCAACTCAATCTGCCTGCCTGCTTGGCCTGATTTTGGGTAAAAGTTGCTCTTTTTTAATAAAAAAAAATCAATATTTATATAAATATTTATAATATTTACACACAAGCCATGCCCACCCAGTCACATGACCACCAAGCCACACCCACAAATTAGGCCACGCCCACAGAACCGATTAGTGATCCCTGGGATCTAAAATGATGAGTTGGGTGGTCCCTGAGGTCCAAAAGGTTGGCGACCCCTGTTCTAGTCCAACCCCCTGCTCTATACCACTTTAGACAAATGGACCTTCAACCCCTTGTTGAAAACCTCCAGTATTGGCAATAACCCAAGGTTAAATTTAAAAAATGGTACAGGGGGTCCTTGATTTACGACCACAATCGGGACTGGAATTTTCATTGTCGAGCAAGGCAGGCAGTGTCCGACCTTGCAATCTTTTTTTTTTTTTTTACCTTGGTCGTTGAAGCAAATTGCTGCAGTTGTTAAATGAACCGTGCGGTTGTTGAAGTAGACCTCAACTTAGTGACCCCCAACAGAGCCTAAAGTTTATGTTGTTAAGTGAGACGGTGGAGTTTTGCCCCCATTTTGCGAACTTTCCGGCCTCAGTTGCTACGTGAATCACTGCAGTTGCTAAGCGAGCAACCCGATTGTTTAAGCCAATCCGGTTTCCCCATTGACTTGGCTGGTCAGGTCGCAAGAGGAGACCACACCACCCATGGGACACAGCCACGTTCATAAATAGGAAGGAACCATTTGCTGAGTATCTGAATTTTGATCATGGGGACCGTGGGGATGCCGCAAAGGTCGTAACTGGGAAAAACTAAGGGCCGTTGCAATTTGGACCGGTCACTAAACGATTTGCTGCAAGTCGAGGACTTGCCTGTATTGACTTGGCTTGTAGGAAGCCAATTGGGAAGGTCGCAAACGATACTCGTGTCCCTGGGACACTGTTTGTTGTGGCCCGCCAGCAGCCGGTGGAGCTGTCGGCAGACTTGGACAGCGAGGAGGTTGGGGAGGAGCCAGTCCCTGAGTCTGGGGAAGGCTCGGACGAGGGCTCTGCGTCGGAGGCAGAGATGGGGCCAGGGCCCTCCGACAGTTATCAGCTGCCTTCAGAGTCGGAGATCAGTGGGGAAGAAGAACAGCTGGAGCCTGTTGCCAATGTGCGCATGCGCAGAGCTGCCAGACGAAGGGAACAGCTAAGGAACAAGGGCTGACTCGGGAGTAAAGCCATAGGTGGACTGTAAATGGCCCCTCCCATAGGGATTAAAAGAGGAGCGAAAGGGAAGTGGGATTAGCAGGAGACAATTAGTTCAATTCATTCAGGTGAAGATCTGTGCCTGACTCCTTGCCAAGTCATTGCTGCTACAGCATGGTGTTTGGGAGATATCAGCCTGGCAACTCTCCCAGCCTGATAAAGGTCTGTGGTTGTGAAATCTCAGGAAAGACTGTTTGCCGGGACTTTGCTGGAGAGGAATTCCCTTGAACCTAAATAAAAAAGGGGTTTTATCGGGACGAGGAGTTCGGCTTCGTCATCTTGGGAACAAGCCTAGGTCAGGACATGGTTGCCAGGCTTCCTAATTTGAATCCCGTGACCATCGGGGATGCCACGACCATCGTAAAGTGGGGGCCAGTCGTGAGTCACTTTCTTCGGCCCCCTTGTAACTTTGAATGGCCATTAAATGAATACTCCGTAAGTCAAGGACTGCCTGTCTTGGGACCATCCCGCCACAATGCACTGCCAGCCTCCAAAACATCCACATCCCTCCCTCAAGGACCCTCACAAGAGCCATCGGGTGCCATACCTAGGTGTGTATTTGCCACAAAGCCGTTCATCGGCGTGTCCAGATTTGTGTCTTCTTTGCTGACGGGGCCGTCGTTCCACATGAGATCAAAGCCCCCAATGCGTTTTTCCTTCCCTGTCAAACTGCAAGGACAAAGAATGAAAGGAAGGAAGGAAGGAAAGGAAGGAAGGATGGAAGGAAAGAAAGAAAGAAGGAAGGAAGGAAGAATGGAAGGAAAGAAGGAAGGAAGGAAGGATGGAAGGAAGGAAGAAAGGAAAGAAGGAAGGATGGAAGGAAAGAAAGGAAGGAAGAATGGAAGGAAAGAAGGAAGGAAGGAAAGAAGGAAGGATGGAAAGAAGGAAGGATGGAAGGAAAGAAGGAAGGAAGAATGGAAGGAAGGAAGGAAGGAAGGAAGGAAGGACTAAAGGGTGACACGGTAGCATCTTCCAATATTTGAGGAGCTGCCCCAAAAAAAGGGGGGGTGTCAAGCTATTCTCCAAAGCACCCAAAGGCACTTTGAAGATATTTCATTAATATTGCACTATACAGTAGAAATTCAACAGAGCTCCTGCCCTGGGATAGAAGCTGTTTTTCAGACTATTTGTCCTTGTTTGTATTATCCTGTACCGGCTGCCAGATGGTAATAGTTCAAAAAAAATAGGGTGCCCAGGATGAGATGGATCTTTAAGAATGTTTTGAACTTTCTTAAGGCAGCGGGAGCTCTAAAGCTCTTCCAAAGAGGGGAGAGAGCAACCCAGGATCTTCTGGGCAACGACGTTCACCCTCTGGAATGCTTTAAATTAATGGTCCTCCTGCGCCAACTCAGGAAGCTCAAACT